AACCACACTATTAAGTATTTACCATATATATACACACATACATATGACACACAATTCTGTGTATAAATGTTCATATATAGCTTAAATGACTTTTCTCATTTAAGTTGATGATGCCAAGAAGATCTCATCGACTCCACCTCCTCTCTCCTCCTCTAACTGCTTGGAACTCCTATCTTGCCCTACTCTGTGCTGCAATAGGCCCAAAGCAGCTTCTTTATTTTTTTAAATATTTATTTATTTATTATGTATACAATATTCTGTCTGTGTGTAGGCCAGAAGAGGGCACCAGACATCATTACAGATGGTTGTGAGCCACCATGTGGTTGCTGGGAATTGAACTCAGGACCTTTGGAAGAGCAGGCAATGCCCTTAACCGCTGAGCCATCTCTCCAGCCCAGCAGCTTCTTTATTAACCAATGGTATTAATAGCATACAGAGGGAAATCCCACATCCTAAGTCCCTATTGCTGAAGACACCAAGTATTTCAGAAAGAGGGCCCAGAGACCCCTGAGCTGAAATTGACCTGAATGACCCTGCCATGAGGACCAAAAGGTACCACACAAGCTTCTAAAGGAAGAAGATAACTAATAGTTCAATCTGGCTATGAGAACTGTGAACCACATCAATGGCTAGTATGGCATGATCACCCCAAGGGTGCAGTAGTGGTTCACATACTTTACTTTGGTGGTAACCAGCTCTCCAGTTGGACTTAAGACTTGCTCAACAAGAGGGCAATCATGCCTGGTACTGAAAATCTCGCTAAGTAGGCTAGCGCTAGTGAAATCATGATTATTGGAAGAGAATCTAAAACCACTAACTTAATAATTCAGTACAGTCTGTAGCAACAATCTATAAACATCTGTCCTTAAGCCACAGATAAGTGCAGTCTTCAGCCCTCGCTGAATGGGCTTTCTCTGTGACAGATGGAGACCGCTACAGAAAACCACAGCCAATTAATATGCAGCTGTGAGCCCCAGTTCCGACTCTAAAGCTCAGGAAACGCTGTGGAAAAGAGGATTGTACAGAGCGGGTGGGAGGATCAGGTTGTTACTGTGAGTTTGTGCCTCCTGGTAATGCCAGCAACTATGCCCGTGAAGTATCACCAACATGACTGCCCAAACGTGAGCTAGACGAGGACGGCAGTAATGGACATGCCCAAGTGGATGAGGACAAGCCCACAGGGCTCACTCAGCACTCCACAAAGACCTGTAGGCAGCTGAGGAAGGATGGGAGTGGAAGAGGTGGTCTTCCCCAGGGAAGAACTCACCAATCGGCTGCCCGGTGCCAAACAGTCAGTCCTGGAAACACAAGTAACACTATATAGACAGAAACATATAAACAGTATATTTAGGAAGGGAGAGATATTATAATCTAAAAAGGTGTGAGCTCCCAGCTGCTGGGGTCATCTCTTGCTCTGCCTTCACTCCACTATCCTAGACTCTAACTCTCTGGAACTGTGTGCTGTGTTTTCTCCACCAGAGAGCCCGGTCTACCCGGCCTGTCTACCCACTTGCAGCCTTTCTATCTGTGAGTGTATCTATTCTTCCTTTCTTTAGCACCCCAGTCAGGCCCAAGCCCTGGAGGAGAAGCATGACATCTTTATATATCAGATCACCATCAAATTAATATTAAATTCTATGGCCAGAAAATTTCCATAAGGGCACTAATATGTTGGAAAGCTAAACTATATACTTAATGTCTTTTTTTTNTCCATCCCTAGTGGTGGGGTTACAGGTAGGTCATTGCACCCAGCTTTTAATGGGGGGACCTGAACTCAGGTACTCGGGCATGTGCCCAAGGTACTATTGACTGAGCCTTCTCCTCAGCCCCGATTTTTTTTTAAGGATTTATTTATTATGTATACAACATTCTGCCTCGATGTATACCCGCACGCCTGAGGAGGGCGCCAGATCTCAGTACAGATGGTTATGAGCCACCATGTGGTTGCTGGGAATTGAACTCAGGACCTCTGGAAGAGCAGCCAGTGCTCTTAACCTCTGAACCATCTCTCCAGCCCCCTATACTTAATGTCTTATTGGAAAACTGTGATAGGATAAAGGGATTTAGCTAGAGCTCAAATGTGTCCATGTGTGCTTTCGAACAAATTTGGAACTAGCTTTTGTAAAATTAACGATTTTCCTTTTATTGACCCTTTCCCGGAACACTGCAGACTGACAAACTGTTACATACATTTGACACGGAAAGAAGACAGACTAGAAGGTGGCTATGTAGCTTTTATTCATGACATCGAATCCTTAAGCTCACACAGAAATTTATTTCATAAATATTCTTTAGATATATCTAGCTCTTCTAATTGATTTAATTATGTTAGCCTGCTTTCTTGCAGCCACATCCTTAGCTGAATCATAAATGGAATGGAAATATAGTTAACATTTTTCAGATGTACTTTAAAAAGAGGCAGGAAAACTTTGAAAGCAGAATACTAGAAGCTAGTAAAATAGCTCACTTCATTAAAAAAGATCCATCTTCTACGTTACACAATTTTTTTACATACTATTGAAATTTTTTTTACCCATATTTGATATTGCCCAGAGGAAAATAGCTTGTTATAAAATTTTTCTGCTAAACATTTTTAAAACCAGGAAGAAGTCATTACTTCCAAAATATACTTTGTTTGGCTAGTTCTAGACAGGAATTACCAGTTTCTTCAAAACCAAAATAATCAAAGCCAGAATGACAATATTACCCAAATGATGTCTTTGCCATTTCTTGAAGACACGCTGTATTCTTTTCCTCATGCCGAGGGATTATTGGAAGCAATGTGTTTTCACCCGTGACGATGGACTGACTAAGCGTGGACCAGCATAAATCAAATCCCTTAATGTTTTCCAGCTAAGGAAAAATTCAACCAAATCCAGTGTGTTATGATTAAGGATATTAAAAGCAGGGAGAAGGGAAACTTGGAATTGCCCAACATGACCTAGTTAGAGTTTCATATGGTCAACGGAAATAGGTAAGAAAACCCCAAGATTCCTCTTATAGCCAAGTCTAGGGAAAACACAGCAGGACCTGGAGAAGGCATGAGATAATTGCTTATCAGATTCACAGTGTGGGGTGTCTATAACACAGACAGAGGGAGAGCTTTGGGGGGAGGCTTCTAGCTTAGTTCTTAGTGGGAGGATGGCAAAGCGCCTGAGAGGAGCCACGACTGCGTCGCTGAGAAGGCAGGCTGAAGGACCACTGGTCTTCGGACATTTCATGACCGTGCAAACGAAACTCTCAGCCCTTAGCATTTACTGGTGCTGCTGAACAGTCCCTGGACCTTCCTAAATAAAAGGTGTGAGACAGGCTGGAGCTCAAAGGGACTAGCTGGCTCCGCTTGGATGGAAGGTTTCTATGGCTGTGACGTCATGTGGGTCGTACAGAGGGTTCTGTAGACCTTCTAAGCCTGGCTACCTGTGAAAGGAGAACAGGGTCTACCTGGAATGTTGCGGCATGGTTGGGGAATAGGAAGGATAAATTAGGGATCTCTGGAGTTCCCTCCATTCATCCTAACTCTGAGGAAAGAAATAAGAAAACATTCAAGGAAGAGAAGAGCAACAGCCTAAGAAGCAGAAAAAGAATCGAGATCCGCAGTTTAGTCTAGATTTAGGAAGAATGTTGGTCCTGCTGCCACGATTTGGCTGAACACAGTAGGAAGTCAGAGGCAAAGGAGGCCCGGATGAGGGGCTTGGAGGTCATCTGGGGGACAGAAATGGAAGAACTAAGGTTCTGTTTCTCCAGTGTGTCCCCAGTTTAAACCGTTACCCCAGAGGGCAAATTGAAGATATCTCACTAGATGGTTGATATCAGTATCTATTAGGACAAAAATGTAAGGCTTGTGACCTCAGAGTGTGCCCAGACTTGTGGATATGTTGTCTATTTAAAATTATCAAAATCTTAAAAAAAAATCCGATTCCTAATCACCTCTTTTGGAGAGGCACAACCTACTGTGAAAGTTAAGATGTTTGCCTCCCCCAAATAATTAGTAGTCACCTCACCCTCAACAAGAACATATGAGCAGTTGGATATGGTGGCACACACCTTTAATCCCAGCACTCCAGGAAGCAGAGGCAGGATGAAGTCTGTGAGTTCAAGGTCAGCCTGGTCTACACAGTGAGTTTCAGGATAGTCAGGACTATGAGACAGTCAGGACACTGTCTCATAATACATGAGCTGAGCTCAACGAGGAAACTATGGGTCTGTCTGAATGGGAAATCACTAAAATAAACACACACACCACACACACACACACACACACACACGCACTTTGCCTCTGGATCATCACATGTCCATGAATCAGCATTCGTATGTATCGTTTGCAAATGAAAAATTCCTGCTCCTTTTCATCTTAAGTGGAAAGGTCGGACTCCTTTTACACGTCTTCATCTTCCACAGCAAGGGATTTCATATTGGGGACTGGGGACCTCTGATAGAACACTGAGAAGTGAAGTAGACACGTTGAGCTTCATATTCTATAAATGGTGCGTGTATCGAATCCCAGAGCTTAACGACGAATTATGCAACTTGGTTGGTCCAGGCAGATAACCTTGAGCCCACTGATTAGTCTTCGATTGGACGTTCACATTTTCTAATGTGATGCAAGGAGGGTGTCTCATCACTGTGAACATTGTTACCCTCATCACTGCCTCCAGAATATGGGCACACCCCATAAACAAACCAGCGCTTAGGTTCTTCAGGAATGTCAGTCACATACATTACGAAAGAACACACACACACACACACACACACACACACACACACACACAGACACACACAGAGGAAATGATCATCTGTCAATGGAAATGAAGACAGTGACACTTAGATACAACGTGTAGTTCTTGATTACATCCTAGATTTTTTTTTTTTTTAAGGCAAATCAATGACAAAGAATCTTCTGAGGTGGAATTTGAATATCCATTTCAGGCTCTTGGAGCTGATGCCACTGAAGACGGATAGGATAATGTCCTCATTACTAACAGGAGGGGGTGACAGAGTATTTCAAAGCTTTATGATGACTGCAGCTTGGTTTTCTGATGGCTCAGAAATGAGCACATTTATGGTGAGAAAGAAACGAGGTGATACGCTAGCACTTGCTATACTTAAAGGATAGGGTGCTCGCAATCATTCAACTGTGAACTTTCCCGAAGTTAAAACAAATGCAGAAAAGCAGGAAGAAGAAGGTTAAAAGACAGAGCAGGCCTGTGCTGTCCCAGGGGCTGCAGGGATTGTCTGTTCACAATACAGACGTATGGAGTTAGGCCAAAGGCTTCAAAACAGCCCAAGATGATTTTTCTTTAGAATCAGCCAAACAAAGTTTTGTAGAAATATGAACACCTCATCCTTCTAAAAAGCAGAGCAATTGACTAGACTTTCCTCCAAGAGCGGACTAGTGCAATTAACAATACAAGCCAGAGAATGCCATTCTAAGAAGTTAAAAAAAAATTGGATTTTTTAAGGTGGATAGAAATTTCACATACACAGAAAACTGAGAGAAAATAATTAGGAATAAATGTCAAATGTTTTCAGCGTCAGGCTTCCCCATTGGCTAGGCACTACTGAAATGCAGGCACTTATTCGACCTCTCGCTGCATGAGCCCTGTGGTTGTTCAAGGTACAAAGCAGCAGAGACCTCAAGGCCAAGGCAGCCAATTCTCACAGTCACCATCCTGCACAGGTCAGGAAGTCAGGGCTTTGTTTCTCTGGACCCTTAGCCAGATATGCTTCTAGGCCCATCTTGGTCTCTAAAAGTTACTTCAAGAGAAAATAAAAAGTTCCTGTAGATCAGAGCAAGTCAATAACAAAAAGACGTTAGCAGTGTTGGGTTTCGTAGGACAGCATCCACGAGACGGGAAGTGAGGGTTGTCCTAAACATGGTCCCATTATGTACTCCATATAGTCAGCCTTTTCATCATTAGGCAAAGATGCCATGCTCTCTAGGATTTTGTGGCAGTCACAGATGGCTTTAACATATTAGAGATACTAAGTAACATCAGACTAGCTTGGTCATCTTCTGTTATTACATTAGCTGCAAGAATACATTCATATCTACTTCCCTCCACCAACAGATACTTTATTAAAAATCAAACGTCGTGGGAAGTATGAGTACTTCTTAGTCAAGCTGTCAGAACCACAGCTTTGTGAATGAATCAGAGAAGGCAACATTTCATTTCCCCAAGCTTCCAAAAGCAGGAACGCACAGAACGGTTATTCTGATGGCCGGAAGGAAAGCCTTGGCTTTGAGGAACACCTTAGCAACCGTAGCACAACTACTGCACAGAAATCAACTCTGTGTCTTCCTAGAACACAAGAGATGGAAGGACAGTGGGCAAGAGAAAAACACACACACACATGTGCACACACACATGCACACACATACACACACACACAGAGTAGAGAATAGAGTGGAGATGAGAGAGAAGAGAGATTGAAGAAGAGATGGAGAGGGAAGGGGAGGATGGGGAGGGAAAACAGGAATAGAAGAAGGGAGACTAGGGAGGAGGGAAAACGTTGGCTGAGTTCAGAAGCTCTGAGGTCAAGTAGGGAAGGCTACAGGTCAAGTGTATTGATCTACACATCCCAAATATCAACAGTCTTGTCTTGTCACTGAAATCCTAACATTATAAAATGTCTGGTCAGCCAGGACTCACTACTCCTCAATAAAGAACAAACACTGCACAAATCTGGCTCAAGGACCCCAGTGGTCATTTGTGACTTTAGTTCTCTCTTGTGGGAAATGGGAAAGTATATCTTTGATGGACTGTGGCTACAAAAATCCATCCTGACCAGGGCAAACTGGTAACGCACCAGTTTATTTCCAGACTCTTCCCAGTGGTTAGCATATGAATGGCCTGTAGGGGGCACAGATCATGTCCTCCATCAGATGGTCCCTGGTGAAACAGCCCACGAGGGAAATGCCATGGGTGCCGCCAACAGAACTGCAGGCCCCTCCCAGCTTCAAGCCCCGTACAAGGTTAAGCCACAGGCCCAGAACCTGGGCCTGCAGGGACTCAAGGAGAGGTGGGATAGGAAAATGGGATAGGAAAATGGTATTCCCCAAATTTGATTGGTTCTTAGAAACATCAAAGACAGAGATGTTAGTCAAGAAGTCTGATAAGACATAAGCGAAAAGAACAACGAAAGACCTCTCAGTCTCAAAACCTGAATTCCAGTGAAGCCTAGGGGGCAGGCCACAGCCACGCGTGACGTGATTGGAAGTGCAGTGGCCACTCCTGCACTATCCTCAGCCTAAGGGGTCAAGGCTGGTCCTTCATGCTGTGGTCTGCCTGGCCCACAGGCCCTGGCTAGCAGCACTTAGAGGGTTAAGAGCACACGAAGTGGGTAGGAGACATCTTTCAGAAGTCCTTGTGGGGCTCCAGCTTTCCTGCTCCTGGAAGCAAGGACCATTTCAGCCAGAGAGGGCCACTTCCTGTCCCACGGGGACTCCTGGGAGAAACTGTTCCTTTCTTCAGGTAGATGAGGTGGGATGTTAGTGACACATCCTGGCTGTCATCTCTTTCTGGAAAGCAAGGAAAGAAGGGCTGTTAGGGGACAATAAACAGAGCCATGACAGAAATACACGGCGGCATTTCCCTGGAACCTTTAAACAGAAGGTGGCAAGCCCGAGCCATGCTCCATTTGGTCTGGTAGGCTTGAGTGTTCTCTCTCCCTCCCTCCATCCTTCTATCCCTCCTCTTTTTCCTTTCTTCCTTTTCTCTCTTGAATTAAGGCACTGTTTAAAATATTATACTCTCTTGTCAAATATCCAAGTGACCTGCTTTATCTGAAGAAAAAAACAAAGCAAGACGTGGAGCCCCTGAGCTCTTGGAATTGAAGCACAGACTTCCTCTCTGGACAGAGAATGGCCTCCAGTGTCCATCCCCATCCCGTCCAGTTGTCTCTCCAGGGAGAGCCAAGAACAGCTTGCCAACAGGTATGATAGCGGGTTTGGGTTGTCATTTTTAGAACAGAAAGCATCTTCCATTTTGATTAAGTTTCAATCACAGATGGAAAAAATGAAGAATATAATCATGTACAAGTCGAGAACAGCAAGGAAGAAGAAATGAAGGAATGCCGGAGTCTGGCCTGCAGTCTACCTAGGCACATTCCTTGCCTGGCTCTTCTGGGAACTTGGGATCCCAAATGGGCCATCCTTTTTACTCTTTGAGACTCGGTACAGGCTGGCCTACTTCAATCTCATTCCGTTTCTATCCTCTTTACCTGGATGCCAGCCATTCCTCTTTCCAGCTCAGACATGGTGACATCCATTGGCTGAAAGACCTCATACCCACCTTTGGAGGTGGCCACGCCTTTCACCTGTGCACACTTGACTGTCGCGCAGGGTGTACTGACTTTGGGTGGGCCGTGGTTTCAATGATAGTGGCTCCCCTAGGGTAATATGCTTGAACACTTTGTCCCAGTTGCTGGAACTATTTGGGAAGGATCCAGGGATGTGGACCTGTTGGAAAGGTGGTCCCACTGTCACGAGAGTCATTAAATGTCAGGAAGAAGACTCACTACATCTCCGCCCAGGCTTTCACCTGGGTGTGTATCCTCCCCTCCCCCCGTCTTCCTCACAATGCTGGCACAAGGGAGTTCTTTCTTCATCTTTGAGACCAGTGTGGGCTGCAGGACCGAAAAAGAGCCTTGAGCTTGTCAGCATTTGGGGAAGACAAGACTAAGTCATTTTAATTAGGTGGGGAAGTTCTGAGTTCCACTTGCTGCGGCTGCTACATCTCCTGAATGCTGACCTGGGTCATCCCAGACAATAAAAGAGCAAACACTGGAGTCAAAAGAGTCAGTGTGGGAGTGACCTGGTGTTCAGAACACTGTTTGAAAACCATAAGACTGTATGGGTTAAAGAAATAATACAGAGTTATCTAGGCACTTTGATGTTCTCAAGGACTCCAGTCTCCGAGGGAGGAAGAAACGTGGTGGAGCCCAGGCTGAAACATCACTGTAAGTATTGATTTACTGAGAAAGACATGAAGCATGTTGGAATCTCACTTTTGCCCCCTTGTTATCCACCCACCTGAATTCTTTTTTTTTTTTTTTTTTTTTTTTTTTTTTTTTTTTTTTTTTTTTTTTTTTGTTTTTGTTTTTGAGACAGGGTTTCTCTGTGGTTTTGGAGCCTGTCCTGGAACTAGCTCTTGTAGACCAGGCTGGTCTCGAATTCACAGAGATCTGCCTGCCTCTGCCTCCCAAGTGCTGGGATTAAAGGCGTGCGCCACCACTGCCCGGCCCTACCCACCTGAATTCTAAGAGCATCTTGTCTTAAATGTCTGCTAGAGGGGACATCTTCTCTCACTCCAGAACAAGGCATAACCCTCTCGTCCCCCTTTAACAGCCACAGCACCCCTTTCCACCAGCGGGCTAGTCTATCACTGACTTTGTTTCTGCCTCCTGGATCATCCCATCCAGGATCCTAGAGAATCTGAGTGAGCAGGGCTGTGGCTGCTATTTGCTCTTGAGTGCCTGGGAATCCGGCTTCAACAAAGGTTTGCTCAATCAAGCAATGCATAGGCCCCCAGTCTCTCCACCTGTAAGATGTAGTGTGATAGTGGGTAGATCAGGGAAGTGTAAATGGATTAATAGATGCACAGACTCAATACATAGTAATTTCCTCCTCTGATCGCTTTCTATAGAGATCTGACTCTTCCAACTTGTTCTCAGACCTCCACAAGCTAAGGGCTCATATTTAATTTCTCAAAGTACAGACTTCAAGGCTGTATTATACTACTTTGCCACTTGGTGGCACTATCGAACCATTTAAAGAAACCCTCTACAGGCATGAACTTGGCTTTCCTCACTGATCCCTCCGCCGGCTAATTGGCAGGGTAAAGACATTCCTCCATTCCTTCCTCAAGGAGAGCGGGCTCAGTAGCTTCCACTCAGGGACCTCTTTTAAGGAGACGTCCCCATTGCTGGTCATGCGGAATGTCACTGTATATAGCAGGCTGTCCAAACCTGCAGCATTGCTTAGGGCGGTTTCTTCAGGGGAGATTTTTCTGGCAAGTCTCTGGCAAGACACTCTATTTGGCTTGTTTAGGAAGAAAATCGCAGCATTTGGAGGTTTGTGTGTTTGTTTATTGGCTCGGCTATTCCACTCCCGGGCACACGGATACAAGCACATTCCTGTTCATTGCCGCTCTATTCACAAGAGCAAGGAAATGGATGAGCGTTAACAGCTGAAGGGACATCGAAAATGTGGTGCATATATACAAATGGAATTTTATTCAGCTATTAAAAAAAAATGGCTGGAGCTGGAGAGATGGCTCAGAGGTTAAGAGCACTGGCTGCTCTTCCAGAGGTCCTGAGTTCAATTCCCAGGAACCACATGGTGACTCACAACCATCTGTAATGAAACCTGGCGCCCTTTTCTGGTGTGTGGGCATACATGGAAGCAGAATGTTGTACACATAATAAGTAAATAAATTAAAAAAAAAACCGGCATTGAGGAAATTTGTAGAAAAATTGGTGGATTTGGGAATTAAGCAAGATGTCAGAAAGACAAAAACCACATGTTTTTTTCTGATACACACTTCTTGGCCCATAGTGTGTGTGTGTGTTAGATAAAGTCTAACAGGCTAGAAAAGATACCAGAGAAGGTAATAATAAGTGATGAGGAAGGTCAAGCAAGGGTGGGCAAAAGGACACTCAGGAAAGTCACTGGGGAGAGGAGTTAGAGCGAGGATCAGGAGTAGTAAAGAGGATGGGGGATGGGAGGAAGAGGCCGCTATTGTTTTGTAATAATGCTAATTTAGAATATTAAAATATTTATTTTTCCCTTTTTTTATTTGTTTGTTTTTGGGACAGGATTTCTCTGTGTAACAGTCCAGGAATTCTCTGTTGACCAGGCTGGGCTCAAACAACAATCCACCCGCCTCTCAGCCTCTCAGCCTCCCAAGTGCTGAGATAAAAGGCGTGAGCTACCATTGCCCAGCTATAAATCTTGTTTTAAATGTACTTTCTGGTAGAAACAAAGCCAGGTTTTGGATTCGTCGCAGCCTCATTCTCCACAGCCAACAGCTTCCACACTGGGCCTGCAGAGGAAGCTGGTCCTGGTGGGGCTACAGACTGAATCCAACAACATACAAACAGCCAGGCCACCCAGCTTCCCCGGGGCTCCTTGGTGCCTTGGAGTTTCTCATAGGCCGCTCCATTCCTCTACGCCTGGCAAATTCGCAAACAGCTTACATGACGACCCCAAAGCATTACTGGCTGCGTCCCCATCGCCTGGCTCTCTGCTAGCTTTGAAATTCATTACACAGTTAGCCTTAATCTGAATTGTATATTGTGTATCTCTTAGTGCACACTGCTAAGTGATGAAGGATGTTTTCTCAAGTCATATGCAGTACATGTGATTTGAGGCTGTTACAAATATAATTTCTATCAACATGAGTTTATAGCTGGGCAAATGAAATTATGTATGTTTTTATGTTTTCAATTTCTGATATTTTTGTTCTTGGCATAGTCTCTGGATTTTTAGGTACTTTTAATACTCATATTATTTCTTGCCTTAAAAATAAAAGAGCTCTAGTAACTTAAAAAGCAATAAAAGGGGAGAGAGGACAAGACACCCAATGGAAGTCACATTTAACTTTAGAAACGAAGCTTCAGTGATGTTTGCCTGGTTTTTGTAGGGAAGGTGGGGGTGGGGAAAACAGCCTAAGCTTTGTGTAAGTTACACAAGTCCTTGTCTGATCTCCATTTTTAAAACTGAAAATATTTATTATCTGTTTGATAGTATTGTGAGATGATTTTGACACCTATGGATCACATTTCTATGACTGAAATATCACCACCATCACCATCAGTTATCACCATCATTTCACTGAAACAGGGTCTCCCTCAGTGGCTCAGATTTGTCTGGAAATTGTCTGGACATCGTGAGTCCCAAGCTAGCAGACATCTCACCTGGAAATGGAGTTTACCTAAAAGGGGTACCCCATACCGTCACCCCTCCTTCCCTACGTCCTGCCTGGGAATCAGAGAACCTGGCAACAGGCTTCCTCTGTGAACCCCTCCACCTTCAAAAAGCATAAGAAGGGGCTCCCTCCTCTTGTGTGGGTTCTGATTTTCTTTAGAGACCCCCTACTATGTTTTCTGTCTCTGGTGCCGGGACCTCAACTTTTGTTGGAGCCCTGCCGTGCCACTGGCATTGTGTCTGTCTGTCCGTGGGGTTAACTCTCCTAATCCTTATTCCTCAGCCATGTGTCTTTTCAGACCATCAACCTCAACTAAAACTTCACCTAGATTAGACTGGCTCCAAACTAAAGCCACTTGCCCAAGTTCACACAGCTTCAGAGTGACTTTCAGTGCAGACGGAGGTGACTGAAATACAAGCAAGCCAACCTTACTTATACTGTCCCCATTATTCCACTGGGGGAGGGGAGGGAGGCAGCTTGTGACTTCGTTGGTTAAAATGCTTCAGGGGACACAAGAGGCACAGCAACTTGAACCCATGCTTTCTTTTAATCCACACGTTCTGCTAACTGTGAGGGACAAGGAGGACGAGGG